GGAAGTCAACTTCGGTGACGATCGTCGACGCTTGTCTTGGTTTGAGGTACGTCGCGGCGTAGTACCGGCCCTCGCCTTAAACAGAACGGTAAACCAGCGGAAGCAGTGCCAAGCAACGCGTTCGACCTGCACTGCGAAGTCCAGTATTTGGGTTATGGTACCGGCCTTGCACAGCTGACCACTGAACTCCGCCTGATGCCAAGCTGGTCGATAGTTCGTTGTAAGCGCACATGTTGCCTATAGACACGAACAATGCCAACAAACATGGTCCGGGGAAGGGGGGACAGTGTTATGACCAGAGTCACGTACCTCTCTCGAAGTTGCAAGCCACTCTTCCGCATTCGCCGTTATCCACCAGGCCGGTATGTTTATCTTCTGAATAAACGAGGAAACATTAAGCAAATTGCGTGTACCATCTCGAAGCCTTACCTTGACCACCTTCACATGGCTGATAATGGATTTGCAAATCGTCGATGATCGCTGCGCCAACAGGCTCGATGAAATTATCAGCTACGATAACGACCTAAAGTACAGATAGTCGTCTTAAGTCATGGCAGTAACAACTTTAATGCAATTTAATATGCAACTGATAAACTTATCGATGATTGGGGAAACGCTTGATGAATAACCATCAGTTTTACAATTTGTCCCATGTTGATTAACTCCTAATGAAACTTATTAGACTTTGTAGGTTCCATAAAAAACTTTTTGGGGTCATAATCACCTTCGTGCTCTGCTTTCCAGCAGTTATGTCATTAGAAGGTTAGTAAACCCATTGATACGGCTGTGAAGAACCGAGGTTGCCTACCACATGCAAGGAATAGCGATGGCTGACCGACATGTGACAACAACAAGGAGATTTCAGAAGGACAATCCTTGACGGGTCTCGCTCAAAATCCCATTACAGCCGATCACCAGACAGATGTAGGGTAGAATGACGTTGAACATGTTGCTTCTTCCTGTCTTAAAATCGAGCCCGTGACGCTCCCCTGATTGGCATAGGAAGCAGACCACTGAAGGTTCCCCTGAACGGGTCGTTTCTGAAATCTCAAAGGAAAAACGAAGTAGTTGGCCTACATTCAAAATTATTAGTTAGATATATTAATAACTGACTGTTTAAATTTTAAAAAATGAAATATGATATGACCTTGAAGTTTTAGGGTAGCTTCCACGAGTGACATTTTTCAGTATTTAATATGCAATTTGCATTTATGGGTAAGATTATTCTTCCTTTATCCTTCATCAAACTTATCCTCATTGCGAGCACGCTATGAATTTCATTCTATGCTCTTTTTCTTAAGTGTTTTAAGCAATTGGTTGTCTGGCAAGCCATTTGGCTGCAAGTATTGTAAACTGATGCTGACGTCTTCTCATTCTTCATGCAGCCAAATGGATGCAGAGGACAGGAGACTTTGCAAGGTAATAATCACAGACAATTGACGGGTAATGTCACTGTCTATATCTAGTCTATAGGTTCATAAACCACTTCCTAGATCTCACTTCAGTGAGAGTATTTGAAATTATACTCCCTTCTTATTTTCCATCTAATTAAATTCCAAACGTTGCCTTTTCCAAATTTCACCAACTCTTCGAACCATGGCAACTTAAAAATGAGGAATATGGGATGACCTTTTACCAGAGTGAAATACTGATATGTGCTTTATTTTAAGTCACCATAACGATAATACAAGTTAAGGATATGAAGAGTAAGGATATGAATAAGTCCTGTATTAAGGATATGAATCTGTAATATTCAATGTCCTTCAGAGAGGGACTCACTGGTGAAGAAATGGGATGAAACAGTTATTGCTAGCTCCTTTACGACAGGAACACGA